GTGATGACAAGATGTGTGTGAGCAAGTTGTGTGATGACAAGATGTGTGTGAGCAAGTTGTGTGATGAGCAAGTTGTGTGATCACAAGATGTGTGTGAGCAAGTTGTGTGATGACAAGATGTGTGATGACAAGTTGTATGTGGAAGGTGTGGAGGCGGACGACGGGAGGCGGACGGTGTGGAGGCGGACGACGGGAGGCGGACGGTGTGGAGGCGGACGGGGGGATACAGAACCAAAAACAAGAACCCCACACAAAGATGTGGGGAAATATATTGCATTTGCAGTGTCAATGTAAATCAGCAAATCATGTTCACATCGAAAGACATAAGTCTCAATCTCTATGTCAGCACTTGTGGCCGGACTTCGCGAGGCTGGATGGTGCAGCACAGGTGGCTCAGTTGTGCAGCTAGCAGTGCTAGCAGTAGCCCCACCAATTACCCTGACAGCTGCGATCGGACACCTTGCACCATAGGCCATTCGGATCGTTGTCCGGATTGCCGCAATACTGAGCATTCACGCCCGCATAACGCCACGCCTGCTTGCAGTCGCAGCCCTTTCTTGTCTTGGTCCCTGCATTTTCGGGTGGAGGGGCTTGGGGCAAATCTTCCACCCAACTTTGGTAACCTGGGTTGAGCCACCCCTCATAGGAGAGTCGTTGGGGATCATCATCATATTTCTTTGGAAAATAAAAATGTTTGAAACCAGCAACCAGAAACGGAGTAATCCGAGAACCACTTTATCTCTCCGCTGGGTTCTTTCCCCTGTGGTCGCCTTCTGCCCGAGTACTTGTTCCCATTCACCGTCAAATAGTCATAGCCACTCTCCACGTTGAAGTCTTCCACCTCCATTAGTTTTGGTTCAACCACATCGAACTCGCACTCCTCGTAGTTGTCGTACCTCGTGGCCGCGTCCTTGTCATAGTTTGGGCTCAAAATACAACCGTAGGCATCAACGGTGCAGGGGCCTTTGGTGAGTTTCCACGGCTGAGCACCGGCTGTTGTGGTGGCGATTGTGGTGGCAGTTGTTGTAGTGGTAGCTGTAGTGGTGCTTGTGGTTGTGGTGGTTGTGGTTGTGGTAGTAGCGGCGGTCGTGGTGGTTGTGGCAGTAGTGGTTGTCGTGGTAGTAGTGGTGGTCGTGGTGGTCGTGGTAGTAGTGGTGGTCGTGGTTGTTGTGGAGGTTGTGGAGGTTGTGGAGGTTGTGGAGGTTGTGGAGGTTGTGGAAGTTGTGGAAGTTGTAGTTGCAGCTGCAGTCGTAGTTGTGGTGGTGGCTCCAGCCGTGGTGGTAGTGGCCCCAGCGGTGGTGGTCGGTGGAGGTGTTGTGGGACCCCAGCAGTATCCCCAATTGGTGCCCTGGCAAGCTGCGTCAGTGAAGCACCAAACACCTCCTGGATCATTGTCGTGGTTTGCGCAAGAGGAGGTGCACTGGCAGCCCTTGTCTTTGGTGGTGGGTGAAGAGGCAACCCAACGGTCAATCACGGCCTGATAGACCTGTGATGGGTTCAAACCACTTGGCGGTGACTCAGTGCTTCCTTCAAGTGGAAATCCATACCCTGCACTGCTGCCTGCCAGGCTGGTCTTAGGGATGGTGAAATCGGTGAGCACGCACCAAGCCACACGGAAACTGCCAGACTCGCCCCAGTGGGGACCCCAGGAGTTAAGGACAATCCAGTGGTCTGTGCCCCATCCAATGGCAGTGACCTCGTGATTGGGACTTCCAGTGCAGTCATGGCTGAAGACACCTCCAGAATATGCCATAAATCCTCCATCTGCGTAGATGCCTGCCGGAATGGGGCCCCCACTCATGATAGCTTCCTTGGCCAACTGGTACACCAACGTGGGATACGGATGGCCCAGGGAGTAGACCTCAGGGTTTACAAATCTGCTTATCAATGGATCCTATGTCTGTCCTGATTTCTAGAAAAATAACTGTATTCAAGCCAAGCAGTCGCCGCCTGTGCGGGTGGCGGAAGTTTCCACAAGGACAACGTGCTCCCGCAGGAATGCGACCAAGGATTTGCCGAAAGGACTTAATTAAGTTGTTGCTTCCCCAACAAAACCACAAGAGTGTTTGAAGCCTCTCGCTTTTTTTTGAGATGGGTTTTGTCTTGAATGACCTGTTCAGCAACTCCTGTGCGAGCCTCGATTTTAGCCACCTCTGCGAGTCCCATTTCTGTTCTTCTTGCAGCTCTTTTGGATCCAATTCCTTTCTTGAGTAAAAAAAAAGTTGACTATTCTCCGGAGTCCTTCTTGCAAGGTCTTGTCTGAATTCGTCTTTCTCTTTAAGACGCTTCTGTCGAGCCGACTCTTCCACGGACTTCTTCCCGTGAGTTGCCTCTTTGTCTGTATCTTCCGACTTATTATTCCATCTAATGCTCCTTTCTACAGTTGCTTCTCACATCCGTATAAGTGGCTCACTGCTCTCCTCTCGTCTACTCTACCCAATGTATATATATATATTGTTTTTTCCCTACTGCTCTTCTCGTCTCTTCTTCACTCTACTCTCTACTCTTCTCCTCTCCTGAGCTAGCTGCTAAGTCTTATTTTCAAACACCTCACACACCGTTCCGTTTCACAACTCGGAGTTTTGTGCAGCTGGCAAAAAAGAGTTCCAAACACACTAGAACTGCGCGCACTGGCAAACCAACTTGCTACCCCAATACCAACTCGCGATGCCCACAGTAAAATTATGTAAAATTCAAGCACTTTGGGCAACGAGAAAACCTTGCCACAGCCGCAGCCATTCCTCCACGGAGCAGCTCCAGAGCTCCAGGACGATGACCAGCCGACACCCACCAACGCACATGCCCACATGATCACATTTACTAAGAAAACACAACACACAACACCTCATAGAATTTCTACCTTCAGATCTTACCTTCTCTGCTCTTCCAGGATAGACTCGACTTTACTCCTACTCCAATTTATACTCTACTGCTCTCTTTTCTAGGCTTCTCTACTCTGCTCATGCAATATTCCACACTTTCAGTCATTTGGAGTTTCTTTGTACTCTACCGTTCTCTACTTTTCTCTACTCGACTCAACTGTTCTCTACTTTGCGCTGCGCAACGCGACTCTACTCTACTCCGCTCTTCGCTTCTCTTTGCGCAGCTGTGAAACATAACTCAGAGTTTCAATAAAAGAAGATCATCAAATCAGCACATCTTCGGCCTGATTTCCAGTTTGAGAAGAAAATCAATCTCCAAAAACATTAAAAAAACCATCGGGGAAAAAAATCCAACCTCAATGAATTGATCCAATCCCAGTTTGAAGGTATCAGCATGCAAGGCTTTCTGGAAAGCGCTGTTGCCACAGGTGGTCGGGCAGCTGGGCGCAGCGTTACTGGTGGCGAAGTGCTCGGTGCCCTGGCCGTGTGCGAAGTATGGCGAGCACCCCAAATCTCCACCTGACCGGCGAGTTGTGGATGCTTGGCTTTTCACAGTAGTCAATAGATATTCAAACGATTCAAGCAACACTTGGGACATGCGAAAAACACCCTGGTCCCCGGTTATTCCTGGTTGATAAAATGGGGGAGCAACAGCCCCAAATAGTGAGTGCATCCGCCACTCAAAATGGGGCCGAGGCGATGCTGATTGTGCATCATATTTTCTCATATTTTCCCCATCAGGGGGTGGTCCTAAAATATGGCCTGGCTGTTTTGGGGCCCCCCGCCTGTGGGGATTCCGTAGGTGGCCAGGAAGTTAAAGACGTAGCGAGACAAGCCACCTGGAGTTATGCTGAGGTGGCGAACGGCTCATGCCGCTCTTTGGTCGAAAAAGTGCTTCTCAACCATCCAGAATTGTCCCAACCTCCAAAAGCTACGATAATTGGAATCAAGCTGGGACAACATCCCAAAAGAAAACCGCAGAAACCAGCCATTTTCAAGGGATGTCGCAGACCTTGGCATCCATCGCCACCCCCTGGTTTTGAGCAACTGGTCGCAAAGCCGCGGCTCAGCTGGGCTTGGGACCCGCTGAAGATGCCATCCGTGGCGATGCAAAGACGCGAATCCACCGCGCTCAATGAACCGAAGGCCCAGCAGCTGCCTGCGGCTCCACTAAAAAAAACACCAGATTTCAGCCAGAGTTCAGCCAATCAACGGCCAATCAACGGCCGGTAATATTTCTAGCATGCCATGAAACACCAGCTGGCCCCCGGGACTCGGCGACATCAAACAATCCCCAAATCGTTGACAAATTAACCATGCTGACCGAACTTCAACGTGACCTATGAAGGACAACACCAAACACCCTAAGGCCTATTCCTACCAGATCCACCAGTCACTAAAATCCAAGCTACCACAGGTTCCTTGGTTGTGGATGCGGCCAATCACCTCACAGGGCCACCGGTCGGGGTCAGTTGGTCAGTTGCAGGGAGCAACCACCGAATGACAAGTCATGGATTCCAATGGATGTCGCTTCACCCTTCGAAACCCTTGCCTCACCACAATTTGACCAATGAGTCCGCGAATCAAAGCTGGATGGCAGACTGCGCTTCTTCATGTTGTCTGTGTAGCTGATGCTTTGCGTTAACAACAATCCATGGGTCACGTTCCCCTGATTCTCGCGACCAGTGCGATCATGGAGGTCCAACATGCTGAAGTTCAATAGCCAGTCCGGGAAGTCCAAAGAGTAGTTGCCCTCAGAATCAGCCATGATCACCTCCATCAAACGTGCAGTCATCACGGGCTGCTCATGAGCCAGGGTTTCCATGAAGTCCGTCATGAAGCGGTCAGCTTGCTCCTTTGCGCGCAAAGACATTCCTTGAGAAAGTGGGGTCGCTTCGGTACCGTTGGTTCTTTGGATCCCCATGGATGCAAATCCCTTCCGAAAAAGTAGGCTACCCGGATAGATGATGAAGCACAGCTTCCTTTCATCATCATCATCATCATCATCATCATCCCGAATCATCCCGAATCATCCCTATTAAAATGGTCTTGTTTTTTGAGTTATTCTTCCATATTTGGACAACCCCAGGCCCAAAAAAAACACTAGGCGCCTGTGGATCCGTGATGTCCTCAATGTGGTCGTGCTTGCAGTAGATCTCCATCTCCTCCAGGACCCGTGCCATCAAGGCATCCAGCTCGGTGCTGTTGAGCTCCTCCGGCAACCCGGTGGTCGCGGCAAAATGATCCACCGCCTGACGCACGTTTTCCAGGCAGCTCTCGTCCTTCACAAAAACGCGGTACGCAGACCTTGTTCCCGACCAGGAGACCACAGAAAAGTTTTGAAAGGGGAGATTTCATGAGATTTCCCCGTCAGATGAAAACCCCGTGGGAAAATAAGAAAAACATGGAAAAAAACATCAGCAAATCCAGGAGACTGGTGAAAGTTCCGGAAGTCCTGCGCGCAGCTCGTTTCACTCTGTGACCCCAAAAAAAATGCGAAATGAAAAGTATGATGCAAACCTCTATAGAACCATCATCAACCAACAGGTCAAGTGGGCATTGTTTGTTCCACATATATATATATATACATCTCAAAGTGTTATATGAAACTCGATACTACTCGCTCTTCCGCAGCTTTCCTTTTTCACAGCACTGCCAATGTCAATCACATTTCACCTGCAATCCTCAGGTTTGCTTTGGGTCGTCACGTTGTGACATGTACATAGCCTCAGACCAGTATCACCACTGGTCAGCTGCCTGGCAACCCAGGCTGGAACCTGCTCAGCAGGTATCACCCATCCCTTAAACCTAAGGGAGGGAAGGCTCTCTTGGTCGCCCCAAGAGAGGGTCCCCGAAAGAGGCTATGGACTCGCCTGCCGTGCAGGCTCCCCTAACCTAGGCGGACATCTCCACGGGAGGTCGGCTCTTAGGGTTGGGAGGGTGGGGAAAGAAAACCGCAATGAATGCTATTTTGGTTCAAGTTTACTTGAGCCAAAATGATAGCATTCATTGAACACTTGAAGATGATACATGCACACCCAAGCCTGCCAAACTCGATGCATGGGTACATCTCAAAGTGTTATATGAAACTCGATACTACTCGCTCTTCCGCAGCTTTCCTTTTTCACAGCACTGCCAATGTCAATCACATTTCACCTGCAATCCTCAGGTTTGCTTTGGGTCGTCACGTTGTGACATGTACATAGCCTCAGACCAGTATCACCACTGGTCAGCTGCCTGGCAACCCAGGCTGGAACCTGCTCAGCAGGTATCACCCAATGCACTCAAATCCCCAAAGCACTATAGGAATTCAAAGGTGAGAATGACAGCGACGAAAGGCAGCTGGAAAAAGATAGTGGGAAGGTACGACGAATAAAAGTCAAAACCATGGCATCGCCACCATGGGTCCTCAGCGCCGAGGCGGCTGATGTCATCAGCCCAGTTGCTCTTGCTCTGGACGTACTCCCAGTAACCCTGGGCTCGCAGTGCAAACAGAGCTAGATGGATCAAATGACCTAGCTTGGCTAAGTCGGCATTGCTAGAACGTCCTCTCACTAGCGTCATGACGGCTGCAACATTGTCCAGAAACCAAAGCCCGTGTCGATTTCGAAACAGGTCAGGTCGTTCCACTAAGGCGTACAGCACCATCGAGAGCTCCAACTGGGCGATGTGTGTGTCTGCAGGCTGCCATAATTTCTGAAGCTCTGCACAATTGTTGGCTACAAAACTGTGACGTATCTGGGATCCGTCATGCTGGAAAAAGATGAGGTGAAAACCTCCGGAACCTGGATTGTCAGCTTCCACCGCAGCATCCGAAGCAGCAAGGAAACGTAGGTTGTCCAGGTGAAGAACGGGAAACTCCCGTTTTGGCTGAAAGCGCATCACTGCTTCGATCACCTCGAAGCATGCTTCAATCTCAGGGGTTACCGCTGTAGTGGTTTCATCCTGTCTGGCTTTGATTGCCATCAGGCCACCATATCCTACACGGCCATAAATACCCTGCTCCAGGAAATTCGCTAGGCCATACAACTTCGCAGCTGTGCCACGGCTGAAGTGACCTGTAGTCCTGGCCGTAGTGAGGAGGCCACGAACTTTATCATGAAGGCGTTCACGGGCCCAAAACCGGACATGCCCTGTCTGGTTGATGCAGTCGAGGTCATGGGTTAGGCCCAAAAAGGTGCCTGTGCTCTGCATTGACTGCTTCTTGTCCTCAGCAAAGGGGGAGCCGATCAGCTTGCAAAGCTGGTTCATGGCCCATTGTCCGGAGCCTTTGGAAGAACGTAGGTCGGTGATGGTCGCATCGTCGAAGTAAAGAGATGTCAAAACTTGGCAAAAACGCCTGGCTAGAGCTTCCAACAACCGGGAAAAGCGGTTGAATGAAGTGACCGCTAACGGAAGTCCAAAAAGGAGGCCTGCATAGACCTGATATGCTGGAGTTTGCCATTCATGGTGGTACCACACCACCACGCAGCCTAAGCTTTCCTGCATCGCCATGGGGCAATACCGGTAGGCTGATGGGAGATCCTCTTGGCCTGTCTCCCAGGCATCGTTGGCGAAGAAGTGGTCGATGTCCTCGGCTGTCCATTTGTGCATCACCAAACGAATGTGCTGGGCCGGGCGCAAAGGGCTGCACAAGGTGAGCTTGTTGGCATCAGAGGAGAGGGCTGATTGTCCTCCAGTGTCGCCATTGTCGATCACTCTCTGCTTGCCGGAGCTCTGCGTGATGACACAACGAGGGATCAGACGATGTGCTCGATTGCCAATAAGCCGCAAAAACTCGGCTCGTCGCAGAGGTGCGGTGCAAAAACCGTTGTTGGCATCCTCCATGGATTGTTGCAAGAGAAACTCGTCATCTTTGCCTGCTCGCAGCTGTTTCAGGATGTGCTGGTTGTGCTCCTGCCATCCATCCAAAACATCTGCCATGCTGATCACCTCAGCCGGCTGCTGGGGAAAAATTCCATAGGGTGGCGCGTAGCCCACTGCCGGCAAACCACAGATCAAGCCAAAGGGGAAGCTAGTGTCAGCCCAAGATGTCAACACCATCAACAATGCTATGAGCCCCATATCTCGATGTTTTGTGACTTGCTGCACGGCGGTTTCTTGAAACGCTCTCAAGTGGAGGGTCACCCCCTCCCAGCGTCTCTTCAGCTCGCGCAGTGCCCCCACTGCCTGTTGCCTCCACGGCCTCAGCGATTTGGTCGGGGATGCATATGCCTCGGCCACGAACTCCAAGTCCATGTCGGAGACTGGAAGGTCTTCATATGGCAAAGGCCGCTGGGCCCGTTGGAGGGCTTGGTGGAAGTGATCATCTGGCTCCAGGTTGAACGCCAGGAGTGGTGGTAGTGCTGCTCTATGCGTCATTGCACCGACTTGGCATCCATCTCCAATTCGGGCCATTTGCCTCACGGACCCCGCAGCAAGGTGGGGGACTAAAGGACCGTCCCAAGCCTCACCACGCTCTGCCAACCATTCTGCATAGGAACAAAACGGCGGGCTGTTGATGAGGTCCTCCACCATCGCAAACTTATAGCTCCTGAACCAATGCTCGGGGAAAAGCTTGCGAAAGGCCAGCACTACTGCCTCTTGGCTCATCATGGGTAGGGCTACTCCTTTGGGGATCGCTTGAATACCTTGCAACAATGTAACTGCCCGGCTCCATTTGCCATCTGTGCCTCTGCTGCCTGGGTCGCCCCCAGGAGCCATGGCATCGAAGTAGAGTCCAATGAGAAGATCGGCCTCGCAAAGTTGCTCCATGGGACAGTCGCAAGCTAAGGCCATGCCCTTGAGCTCATGCAGGGCGTCCCACAACGGCGATGTGCGGATATGGACAATGTATCGTGCATGCCATTCTCCGGCCTCGCAATTGTGGCCTGGTGTCCAAGGCGATTTCCACTTGGTCGTCGTCAGCCGATGGTGGAAGCTGCCTCGCCCGACATAGATTGTCTGGTGCGGCAACTTGTTCTTCTCGATCATGACGTCCTGTGCGAGCTTCCTGACTGGTAACCCCGGTCGTTCGGCTCGCAGGGATTCTGTCAGCCCAAGTGTCACCGCCAAAGGTGCCATGGCCCACTCTCGCATTGCGCGAGGGTCCATGTCCAGCCAATGCTCCCGTCGCCCCACAGCCAGAAATGTGGGCATGCGAGGAACTTGCAACTTGGCCATCCCTCGACGGGCTGCCCACCAACTCGCTGAGACTGCAATGGAGAAAGCAAGGATTGCCGTGTACTCTGCCTCTTCTTTAGAAGGGTAAACTCTGATGCCCTCAGATGTGTAGGGGGTCCATTCTTGTGGGTCATGCACGTGGTGGCAATTGGCTGGGGGCCATCGCTGGATCTCCTCCACATTGTGCCGCAACACCTGATGCTTGCAACGTGCGCCACCTAAGGTGCATGCTGCGTACGATGTGTCAACCCATTGTCCAGACTCCCACATGGTCACCTCTGCTGAAGTCCACCAGTGCAAAGAACGGGCAGGATTCTCTCGTACACTGCCTCCACCTCTGTCTCTCAGCTTCTGGATCTCTCCCAAGACGTAGTTGCATGCCTTGTTGTCCATGTCAACCCTTTTGGCATCTCTGCCAGTCAAATGAGGCAGGCCATCTGGGTAGACTTCAGAACGGAGAGGGCCAGGTGCTGGCCTGCCATCTTCGAACTTCCGAGGAATCTCTCTGGCTCGGCTCTTGGTGGAGCAATCGATGGCCGCTGCAATGAAGATCACCTCTTCAAGTTGCTTGCTCAAAGATCGTTGCCTGCGCTCATCCGAGAGGTCATGGCTCGCGTCCAGCAACCAGTCTACTGTCAGGCAGCTCCAACCACAGCTGATAAAGGCTTTGGTAAAAGGGGCATTGGGACCCGCCATAAGATCCGCCATCAGAGGTCGCCCCTCCTGCAGCTCTATGCCGTCTGACCCAAAAGAGGCAGCCGCCTCCTCTTCTGGGGTGTGTCAACGCTTGCCAGTGCAATTAGCCGCCCCATGGTTGAAAGCTCCACACACTCGGTCTTTCCTGATAACCGCTGCGCAACGGTGGGCTCCTTGGGGGCATGGCTTGGCTTTGCACCCTCCACGTTGAAACTGGGGGCAAAGTTTGGTGCCATCCTTCATGGCCGTGGCCACCTGTTTGCCATTGATCGGTTTCCCCAACTTCAAAGGCGAAGTACTGGGCTGGACTTTGGATGGACTCGCAGTCGAAGCTGCCGTGGGGGCAGTGGCCTTCTTCTCCGGAGTAGCCGGCCCGGGGGCTGACCAATGCGCATCCCTGGAGGTATAGATTTCGCTGATCACCTGGCCCAGGCTCATGGTGGATTCACGGAACTTGGAGACCCATTCGCTGCGCTCCTCCACGTCCTTGGCCTGCAGCCATTGCATGCGCTGTGACGCAGGGAGCCCTGTCACTGTGCGCTTGGCCCTGAAGTAGTACTTGTAGACTACATCCATGGGGACGTTGACAAACTTCAC